GTGTGTGTGTGTGTGTGTGTGTGTGTGTGTGTGTGTGTGTGTTAGCAGAGGCTTAAAGTTTGGGTTTGTTTCGTTTTGTGTTCTGTTGTTTTTTATGCATCAGACACTGGCAAGAATATAATTCTCATTTCAGCATGGAAAATGTTATTAAAATATGGCTAAGAAGATTATTTGGAAGAGTCTGCCCATACTTGGTATTTTATTTTATATAATTTACCTAGAATTTCTGGAGCCAGAAATCATCTTTAGGTAATAAACAGTATCAAGCAAGCAGGAAAGCCAAAAAGTACTTTAAATCCACATGCATCTTTTTTTGAGGGGGGAGGGGTAAAAGGTAGCTTGCAAATTTAGTGTGTATAAATAAAAATACAATGAATTTAGGGTGCAAAGCTCTTTGATGCTATTTTTTTTTTCTTTTATCTGTCAATTTTTAATACTTAAAATTATCTTACTTTTAGTTTGTTTATGGAAAATCTCCATCCAAAATTAAAGCAAAACAAAAATTAAATAAGAAAACAAACATTAGTTCAAATGTATAACCATTTTAACACTGTGATAAAACATCCTTCCAGATATCTGTCTAAACATAAATTGACATACTGTGCAAATCAATATCAATTTACAATTATATATAATTATAGAATCAGAAATATTACATGGTTATCTTTCATACCTCATTAGAATTTTATTTTCTACCATTATTTAAACTAATTTTTACTGCTAAATCATCACAAAATATATAGTGAGGTATAACCACCAAGGAATGAGCAACGAGGACTTGATGTGCAAATGTCCACCGGATAGTAATGATCGTAATCCTAGAGTCGTATAGGTAATAATTTGCTTCAGAAATATAAATGTTTTCTTGTTCTTTCTTGTAGATCCATCTCCTGAAATTTAACTGTTCAAGATGAAGATTTTGTTGGCGATTACCTTTTTTATTTTAATTTCCTTGTGGGTTGAAGAAGCCTATTCTAAAGAGAAGTCTTCAAAGAAGGGGAAGGGGAAAAAGAAGCAGTATCTATGCCCATCGTACGTTCTTCATGCCTTATATTCTCATATGGAGAAATGTTTTTGCATTTTTATCTAAGTAAGGTGGTTTATTGAAGCACACATCAGCAGAACCTTTCAGATCAGAATAGATATTCGTTTCATAGGTAGAAAATATAGGCTGAAGAGAGGTTTAGAATGTGAAAGCTAATTCCCAGTATTAAAGGTAAAGTTTTATAAAGTTTTGTTTATGCCCTGGACTTAGACATTTATACATTTTTTATAGAAGCAGAAAAAAGTTACTATTTCTTACCTTAATGTGCAAATTTAAATGGATACTGAGATTGCATGCTTTGAATAATGAATACCAGTTCAGAAGTTGATTTTTTAAAAATAGTCCTAAAAATAAATATTCATTAAAGAAATCAAATAGCTGAACTATGATTTTAAAGTCTATTTAGTTTATATTGATGGATGGCACAAGAAAATTCACACGGTGGATCAGTTTTCTATTTCAATTTTTTTTTTTTGGTAAAGGACTTATATTAGGAAGTTAGAATATTCCTCAAAAATATGCCATTAAATTTCAAGTTACACGTTAAAACAAAATCTAAATCCAAATCAACCACTCACCCCTGAAGAAACATCAACAACAAAGTTTTGTGGTTTGTACTTTTTTTTTTTAATAGGAAAGGTAAACATAACTGTTGAATAATAGCAAATAATATCTAATAGAGCAATTGAACAGTATATCCATAAATAACTTCCACATAATATAATGTGCTTTTAGGTAATAATGTAACATATGCAGTGATCTGAAATAAAAATTATTTTGCTGTTTTAAGTCATTTTTCAATTAAGATTTCTTAAATGCCATGTTAGGCAATATTATTTCATCATCATTATTTAAATGTAGACTATTATAGTTCTATAAGTGTTCTAGAAGAGATATTAAGGTGCATTTTGGGAAGTATATTTTGTAAAGAAAGGATATTAGAATTGGTGTTTTTAACTGCATATATTTATTTATTTATTTCCCATCACCATTTATCCCCTCTATTCCCTCTCCCACCTCCATCCACACATATCCTACCCCCTGCACCCCCGCCACAATCACCACTGTTGTCCATGTCAGTGAGTAGAATTCGTATTTTGGAATGGGTATTTGTGTGAGACTAAAAGTCTGGAGGCCATATCATAATCTACATAAAGTCAAACATTAGATTAAGCTTTCTATTAGGAAATATCTCCTAGTTTTCAGCTTTAATAGTCCTGCTTATTCCAGTGCTACACAGTCTGATGTCTGGGCCAGATTTCTGGGTGTGTGGTGGGATGGCCCTGAGTTATATTCAAGTGTCTCTCCTTGGCCATCTGACCAAATGGGTATAAAGTGTCTGATCGTGGCAGGTTCAAGAATAACCATTATCTGCAACTATCACTACCCTTCACTGTTAGAGCTTCTGTGCCACAACCGAGAGACTAGCATTTGAGGGAACTGGACATTGTCAGGCCGTACTATTCCCAAGCAAAAGGACATATTCTCGTGTTTTAGGTAGTCTCTATCTTAACTTTTATTTGATGAGCGTTGACATATTGACACAAACTGCCGTATATGTTTTACAGTCATGGTAATTCTATGTGTGGGGTCAAGCCATCATTGATCAGTTTCTTTATATGAGAAAGCTGATAGGCTCTTATGTTCTTCCCCCTGCCCCATTAAACATCATGAATCAAAGAGTCCTGAAGATGGCATCGGCAAGCCTTATAACTATGATGTATCTCACAAGAGTCTTTTACAGGACATTCTATCCCTTTTCAAAACTACATTATTAAAATTGCCTCATATGCAAACTGCTTGCATATACTTATGGCGTCTATAGTTATTTAAATAGATTTTTAAAGTTAAATCTAGTAGATAAAGAATGGAATGATAAAGGTTCTCTTTTGGTAAATATGGACATCTTCAAGTGTCAGGCCCTACATACACCTGGTAAACCTTATCACAGTATTTTAGGTATGTTGAGTAACTAATTGAATGTTATCTTTGAAATTTTCTACTCTAGTTTAAAAATTTATTTATTTTTATAATTACTATTTTTATAGTAAAGATAAATCTTTACTAATAGTTACCATAGTGATACTGCCAAAACTCTGACTTACTAAAAAGTAGGTCTACCTTAGAGAATTAGATATGCATTTTTTGGTTTGAACATTTTATTAAGAATTTTGATTTTATTATCACTGAATTGTGAACTTCAGAGGACTAAAATTTTCTCTGGCTGTGATTGGATCTATTATATTAAATTTCTTTGAACATCCAGATTAAGAATCTCAGCTCTAATAATGTGCTGTAAAAGGATATGCACAGTATTTGTACCTTACAGGATGATACAGTTTTCCCATTTTGTGTAAATTGATTAAATATGAAATATCTTGAGTAGGAGGAATATTTAAGGTGATAAAACTTGGAAATTAGGCACAGACTGTCAAATAGTACTTCTCAATATGGTGAAATTCCTGCCCAGTGACACTTTGATTTATTTGAATTTTTAAAAAATTTATCTTATTGTTGAAAGTATTACAAATGTCCCTCTGCCCACCCCCACTGACCCCTTCTCCCCAGCATACAGCCCTATGAACAAAATAGATACAGAGATATTTGAGTTTTTTAAAAAGTAGTTTATGAAGCAATGGGTTTGTGTAGACATATGTGTTAATGGTTAATGTGTTCTTTAAGTGCAGCAAACATGAGCAAAATGTCCCATTTTATTGTTATAACAATATTTTCTTCAAAGCCTATACATAAAGGAAAAAATGCTTTAAAATGTAGAAGAAATAAAGGACCTAGGGTCCTTAGTATTCTAGGGTATAATTTTGATGTTGAGCTTGAATCCTATAAACTTTTCTTGGGTCTTTACTATTTTTTAAATACATTGTTTTCGGGTGCTACAAAATCATAACTATATGCTATTATTCATTATTTTGAGTGTTTAAATGAAACAATACTATCACATTGACAAACTACCTCATAAATTTGCTTTCATAAATTTTGAGAAGTTTAATATATGTTAATAAATGAGAAATAAACTTTAAATTAGAAAAAATATTTTAGATTAAGTCTTTGGGCACAGCTTTCTATTTTACAGCTTGGCTTGATACTGACCTTAATCTATTGGCCTTTCCTCTGATTTTCTATTCATTCTGCCTGAGTGATTTTGTCCAAATCCATGGCTGTAACTACCATATAGTCACTGTTAATTCCTAAGTTTCTGTCCAGCTCAGACATCTCTGAAGAATGCGATGGTATAGGTCCAAGTCCAGTAATTCTATCTCACTATCCCACCTCAACCTCTGGCTCAATTTAAAATGGTAGAACCTGAGCCCAGGAATCCTCCCACCACTCCCAATAAAAATAGTTTTATTCCCCAGCAAATCATAGCACCACCTCTTTTGTCATTCACATAAAAATCCTGGGGATCACTTTAGACCTTCTTTTTCTACCTCAGCTTCTCAGATTCATTGGTCACCAAGACTTCTCAAGGCAGAGTCTTTCCTGTTACTGGAATGCGTCTTTCATTTTCATTCCCATGTGGACCCTGCTTTATTTACTCCTCCCCATTCTTTTTGGTGAAATTGTTGTCTCCCTGCTACTTGTCTTCCTCCATCATTTCCCTTTCCACACTGACACTACAGTGTATTTTCTAAATACTTGATATAGTCAATTCATTCTAATGCGTAATCATTGAAGGGACTCCATAGATTTCTGAGCGAGGTCCTGATTTCTTGGCTGCAACCACAGTTCTTGTTGAACTAGCCTCTGACATCTCCAGTACCATCTTTCCATCCCAGCCCCCACCCCACCCCACCCCAGCTCAACCCACACATGAGCCAGGTCTCACACACACTTGCTCTTTCACACCTGTGCAAGTGTTCTTCCCTTGATCTAAAATACCAGTGTTCTCCTATCTTCAGTTAACAGCCACCTTAGTGGTCTTGTCCAAATCTATAGCTATAAACACCATGTATTTACTGTTGACTCCTAAAGCTACATCTGGCTCAGACCTTTCTGAAGAACATCACACCCACACATTTAACACTTTAATCTGTCCCTTAATGACCCTAAACTCAACTAAAACCTTGTCTCCTTTGGGAAACTTTTCCTAATTCTGATATTAGATAAACACACTCTGTGCCTCCACAGTACCCTAATTGCTTATCATATTTATAATACCATATGGTAATTATCAGTTGTAATGGCCTGCTGTCCTCACTAGGTTGAAAGTTCCTTGTGAACGGTGTCTTATTGACTCAATCACTAAAGATCAACATAGCACACACACACACAAACACACACACACACACAATAAAAATTTGTTCAAAGAGTGAATAAAAACCTAAAGATCTTTGGCTCTTATAAGTCATTATATCTGAATTGGTTAAGGCACTTGAAAAAGAACTTATATAGTCCCTATGGACAATATTTAGAAATATAGTCTCAATATTAAAACTAGATGAGTTAACAACTGGGCAATTAGTGGGAAATCTTCCACCCAGCTGATGTTTCCTGGTGAAATTTTGGCCTTACTGTGTTTAACATTTTATCGATGACTAAAATAAGACCATCCATAGGCAACATCCAAACTGAGAAGAGTATATATACCCATATATTTAGAAATCAATTTTCTGAATTATAGGGTATAAGTATATTAAACTTTAGAATATATAGGCAGTTTTCCAACTCTATTCCCATCATTCATGTGTGAGAGTTCCAGTTGCTTCACATTCTTGTCAAAACTTGATATTATTAGCAGTCATTTTAATTTTAGCCATCTGATGTGAGTATAAGATATCACATTGTGATTTTAATTTGCATTTCCCTGATGATTAAGATTTCTGAGCACCTTTTAATATTGGACTTTTAGTCATAACTCTTTTGCAAAGTGCTCACTTTTTTTGTTTGCCCACTTTTTAAAAAATGTGTCCACTTTTTTCTTATTATTGATATGTAGAAATTCTTTATACATCCTACAGAGAAGTATTTG